CCCCAAAACCCCAAAACCCCAAAACCCCAAAACCCCAAAATAATCATAATAAATAGAAATTTTCAAAAATGAGTATTATTGAGAAAGAAGCAAGTGATCGTGAGATAAGCACTCCTCATGTATTTGTTTCATCTATGAGAAAGCAGTCAATTACGAGAGAAAAAACAAGGACTGTGTAAGCAATTCTTATCTGAAATCTCAAAAAATATTCTCTAATTCTCGAAGTTATTAGGTTTACTTATATTATAGGCATAGAGCTAGGAGGGCAAAGAAAATCCAGGGTCTGATGTCATTTAAACTGAGCAAACCTCTTGATCTCAAAAATTTCACCATGAAAGATCGTCTCGAAGAGAAATTGTTCTATTACTATGGCAATTACAACAAGAGCGGATTTACCTTCGATGAGTATATGGGGTTCGAAGAAATTGGGCATGGTAAGTATTCCTAGTTACTTTCTTAGAACTCTTCGATATTAATGAAGGAAATGGCCTTAGAAAGAGGAAGGTCATCCCAAAATAAGAACCCAAATTGGTCAAGAATTGCTGACCTGATCCTTAAATGGAAAGGAAAGTCATTTGCAAGAGCTTTAAAAAGAATAAATAATGCTTATTCCTTGCTCAATAATTACGACAGTCTGGAAAAACTAAGGTAGGATTTTATTATAATCATACAGAGAAATAGAGAATGATAATGCTGCTAAGCCAGAAAAGAAAATCAGCTTCAAATAAGCTTTTGAAGAAGAACAAGGATTTGAAAATTGAGATCGGACATGAAAAGAGAGATGTTTCAGAAGTCATCTCCAAATGCATCTATAATAAGGTTGAGAAGTTAAAGAATAAGCCCTCGTTATTTAAGAAAGTTACTACTTTCTCTTTCAGTCCGAAGGTAACTGCTTTAGCTTTATTTCTAGAAAAATAGTAATTTAAGTAGAAAGACTTCAAGCATACAACCAAGGCAGAGAGATATAAAGAATCTGAGTTCGTGAAGAGAGAGAAAATTAAAAAAAGCAAGGATGCGTAGAAGAAGGTCAAAGAAAACCAGAAGCGTAGACATGGAAATAAGACTAGAAAAAATTGAAGAGGATAATGAAGATAAGAAAGCTGAACCAAATAAATTTCTCGATATGGCAAAGTTCTTAGCTTGTAAGAGAGCATATGAAAGAAGATCTGTTGTTAGTAATTATTCTGCCAAAAGAAAGCAAACTCGAAGAAAGATAAAGACGGGGAGTGTTCACGATAATAGCAAGAATTCTTATAATGATTCTTCATATATTGCTAAAACCTCACCAAATTCAATTAAGCAGTCTCATATACAAAGTGGATTGAAGGATTTGTCAATTTTTAATGTAGAAAGCCCATTAGAAACATGTAATCTTGATAACAGACCCAATACTGTAATGGGAGGAAGAGAAATAAAAGAAGAAAACGTATCTGAGAAAAGTATTATCAACTATAAAATGCAATATTTAAAAGATTACTCAAATAAGCTAAATGCAAAGAAGATTAAATCTAGCAAATTTTCTCAAAGAAGAAAGTCAACACAGGCCAAAAAGAGTATGTCTTTCCTCATCCCATAGTATCTTCATTCAAAATGCCAGCCTCCAAGAACGGCTTTCAGACAATTCGAAAGAGTGTTGTCTCCAAGCAGAGCATTGGGTCAACTTACCTGAGCTCAAAGGCTAATCCTGGACACTTGTACTCTTCCACGCAGCCTCATCTTCATAGTTATCTGCCTTAAATTTATTTTATTGACCAGTTCAAGCCCTATCCACTAATCTGGGGTTTTGGGGTTTTGGGGTTTTGGGGTTTTGGGG